CCGAGGACATAGGAACAATCTTATAAGAGACATGAGGTGTACCCAATATCAAAACCCAGGAACCAAAAGTTGTAGGGCTGGATATCATTTGGAGATTTTTAGTACACATAATAGAATTAAGAAAAGTGAATCACGCTGCTAAAGATAGGCTGAAAGACACTGGAATGAGATAGTAGAAGATAGTGAGGTAGACTTGGTGGAAATTTAAAAATTGCAGCTAATATTGCGAAATGTCATAACGAACACGGAAACAAAACTGGAAAATATCACATTATGCAGATAGCTAGGTCAGCCTTTACTTAACTGAAACAATGCTACAAATATGTTTGGAGATCAAAGTGACTTCACTAGCCATGCTGATGTTGGGATGGTTTTTGTGAACTAGTTTTAGTTCAGTATAACTCATTTGAAAGTCTCACCCTGAGTCTCTCACACCCAAACTGGAAAACTCAAAAGCCTGTTCTTTTTGTTATTGTATACCGTCCACCTGCTCCTAATTCAGAGTTTTTAAGTGAATTCTCAGACTTTGTCTGATTTAGTGCTTAGTACAGATAAAATAATCATAGTAGGCGACTTTAATATTCACGTAGATGCTGACAATGACAGCCTCAACAATGCATTCTGTTCATTGTTAGACTCAGTTGGCTTCTCTCAAACTGTAAATAAACCCACTCACTGTTTTAATCACACTCTTGATCTTGTTCTGACATATGGCATCGAAACTGAACACTTAATAGTTTTTCCCCATAACCCTCTTCTGTCTGACCATTTTCTAATAACTTTTGAATTTCCATTAATGGATTATACTCTATGTGGGAAACAATTCCACTACAGCAGATGTCCATCTGGCAATGCTGTTACCAAGTTTAAGGAAATAATTCCGTCTTTATCTACTTCAGTGCCGTTTGCCAACACAGTGGAAGGAGGCCACCTTAACTTTACTCCCATACAAATCGATAATCTTGTTGATAGTACTGCAGCCTTCCTGCGTAATACACTTGATACCATTGCCCCTCTGAAAAAGAAGGCAGTGAAACAGAGGAGGCTAGCCCCGTGGTACAGCTCGCAGCTCCGCTCCCTAAAGCAGGCATCACGAAAAATGGAAAGGAGGTGGCGCTCCACTAAGTCAGAAGAGTTTTTCATAGCCTGGAAAGATAGTTTAATAACATATAAGAAAGCCCTTCATAGTGCCAGAACCGCATTTTATTCATCACTGATTGAGGAAAATAAGAACAACCCCAGGTTTCTTTTCAGCACTGTAGCCAGACTGACAAAGAGCCACAGTGCTGTTGAGCTTAACATTCCCTTAGATCTCAGCAGCAATGACTTCATGAGCTTCTTTACAAATAAAATCACAACTATTAGAAAAAAAATTGGTCGGACCACTCCCACAGCTCTCGCAGATGTGCCATCTACTACAATGGCTTTAGAAACATCTGTAAGACCTCATTTATACTTGGACTACTTCTCCCCTATAGATCTCTCTGAGTTGACCTCAACAATTGCTTCATCTAAATCATCAACATGTCTCCTGGACCCCATCCCGACCAGGCTGCTCAAAGACGTCTTTCCCCTAATCAACACATCCATACTAGATCTGATTAACCTCTCTCTATTAACAGGTTATGTTCCACAGGCTTTTAAACTTGCAGTAATTAAACCTCTACTCAAAAAGCCTACTCTTGACCCAGGTGTCCTAGCTAATTATAGACCAATATCCAATCTCCCATTTATTTCCAAAATCCTTGAAAAAGCTGTTGCAAAGCAGTTATGTGACCACTTGCACAAGAATGATTTGTTTGAGGATTTTCAGTCAGGATTTAGAGTCCATCATAGTACAGAAACCGCATTGGTGAAAGTCACCAATGAAATGTCCACACAAGAAAGGTGTTCCATCAGGGGTTGGTTCGCACAAGTATATAAAGACAAACACACACGCACACACCACATGTCAGGAATCGGCGCGTTATGCTGCCAAAAATGTTGAGGGTGAACTCAATTAAAAGGCCAGACAAGGAAATGTAAAACAAAACCGTCTCTTTAATAAGAGAACTAACGCTAAACAAAACCATACAAGACACGGTGAAACACAAAAATCACAGGTCGGTATAAACAGTCCGAGATCAGAGCCAGCAAACACATACAGCAGAGGAATCCAAATACGTAGTCCAAAGGGAAGTCCGATAATTATACACAGTGACAGTCTGAAGCAAGAGGGCAAGGCAGAACAGAATAGTCAGAGGAACAAGCCGGGTCAAAAACACAAAGTACCAAAACCGAAAAATGCTGGAGAGTGAGAGGTGGCGTCTAGAACAATCTGGCTGGGATTGGTGGGTGAAGGCTGCTTATGATGCGGTGCAAACTATAATGAGCAGGTGAAACTAATGCGGGTGATGAAGAAAGTAAAAAGACCAAAACTGTGGTGAAACAAAACAGGACGTAGCATCAAAATAAAAGCCTGACAGGAAGCAACACAGAACCGAATCATGACACCACACACACACACACACACACACACACACACACACACACACACACACACACACACACACACCACACACACACAC